TGTTGTACGTCACACTTCTAAAGAAGCCACGTGACAAGCTTCACTGGGTCAGTCTACTGAGGAAGACCAGAGTGACTGATCGAAGCTCTAGGTGAGAGAATTTTTTGTGTTGGAACAAAAGTTTTAACTGTAAACATGGATTCATCTTGTCTTTTGTTCCCCCCACAGAGGCCATAACCAGCCTGTGTTAAACCTGCTGAACAACCAGGCCTTCATCACGTCCCAGAACCACGGCTTCGCCATCGACAACGAGACCCTCCCGCCGGGCTGGCAGCCCATGTTCATCAACGCTAACGACCTGACTAACGAGGGCATCATGCACGAAACACGGCCCATCTTCACCGCACAGTTCCATCCTGAGGCTCGCGGAGGGCCCACTGATACTGAGGTAGGATATGCCAGTGTGAGACCTGAAAAGTTTTTTTTCACAGAGACTCTTTTTGTCAGTGATTACAGGTGATTCTGTTGTTTAGTTTGTCATAACGTAATATCATAAGATATAAAAGAATTGCTTACTTGAGTAATACTGTAGCATTGTCAAAAGTTCTCAAAATTTTTTTTCTCAAATATATGGTGCCTAAAACCAAGCTGACATGTCTTTTCTTTCCACAGTTGAAAATATTTTTCTAAATTACTCACAATTACTCTTCTCTACAGTTCCTGTTTGATATCTTCATGGACATGATCAGAAAAGGCAAGGGGACCTCCATGCCTGTGTCCAAAGTCATTCCTCCTGGGAAACCCAAGCCTGCTCCTATACATGTAAGTCTTCCTTTAATTACAGTGTATGAAGTAAACTAGATTAACTCCTCAAGCTAACAAACACATCTTTTTACACCGCAGTCACCCCTCAGCAAGACATCTAGAGCAGCATATTTAGAACTTTTATTCAGCCTGTCACGACCGGTTTAGCCCTGTTAACTTCTTCAAAATACAGAGGCTGAACAAAGATTGTAAACTGGAACTTCACAGCTCCAAATGTCTTACTGAGGGACGGCTGAAATTAGCTTGAGGAATGAATCCACTTTACTTTTTATTCTACCTTAAACAATGTTTAAGTCTAATTTGTTATTTCTTGTGCTCCAATGACTTTTCATAAATGAATCTTGTTAAAGATTGTCATGATAGTGGTAGTAGTATACATGTTTTCCTGTTTGTATATATTCTGTGTGAATTCTACAGGTGAACAAAGTGTTGGTGCTTGGATCAGGAGGCTTGTCCATTGGCCAGGCTGGGGAGTTTGACTACTCTGGCTCTCAGGCTATCAAAGCACTCAAGGTAAATAAGCAGATAGTAGATTTTGTGTGAAATACTTATATACGTATGAATGATTTAAATGGTGATGTTTCTGTTTATTTTAGTTTATCTATTTGAGTGCGTTCTGTTGGTAGTTAGGTCAGGAAAAGCATCCTTGTGCCAGATTATGTGGACTATGCCATGAATGTTTTTTTTGAAATGGGGGATTTTCATCGTCAACTGTTGAGATTTGATCAACCATCTGTAATTCCTTTTCAAACTGCTAGGAGGAGAACCTGCAAACTGTCCTGATGAACCCCAACATCGCATCTGTGCAGACCAATGCTCATGGAGAAAAACAGGTTAGTTTACTGGAGGAATACATTGTACATTCCTACTGTTACATGTAATTGTAATGCAAGTTAGGTGCCAAAAGATGGCCTCAGCAGTTAGAAGGTTATTATGTTAACCTTCACTCTGTTTCTTCTTCTTCCTCTTCTTCTTCTTCTCCAAACAAATAAGGTCAATGACCTGGACCAGACGTCTGTCACCATGGTAACTGGTGTTAGGTTACATCATGTTGCAAGTGCCATGCAGAACTGAGTTCAAGAGGGGCTGCATGGTCACCATATATATATATATATGAATGTGTTTGAGTAAGAATAAACAAAGCAGTAGTTTATTAAGCTGGGCCATGTGAAGGTTAACAATGCATTTGCTTTGGAAATGTTACCTTTCTAGTTATAAAAAGCATCCTTGTGTAAGGCCACACCAATTTAATTTGTTGGTTTTTGGATTCCCCTCTTCATTTTTCTCTGATTTGCAAAAAAAAAAAAGATTTTGGTTCTGAATCAACTAAAAAAAAAATTTGCACCCAACAGTTCATTTTCTTCCTAGTTCTTACCATTTTTCCATCTATCAATGCAGTGGTTTGACTAAAAGTTCAAAATTCATTGTTTAAATATTAACCCAGCCTTTTGTGTCGACTTCATGGCTCCTATCGTAGCATTTGACACTGTAATAGGATGCCTAGACTTTTTTTTTCGCCCTGTCGCTTAATATTTTTTCTGAAAAAATCTGAGAACCAGCAAATTAAATTGTGTTAATGTGTTGTAATTTCCATGTATTTATGTTTTTTTAATGTGTCATGTGTGTCTAGAAGGACCACAGGAAGGATAGCTACATTTGTTGTAAGCTAAGTGTGGATCCCAAATTCCTATCACAAATTAGAATATGTGATAGCACAAAACTATGGGAAAATGGATAAACATATGTTGAAATGGGGTCCACTGTATGGTAAATTGTTAGACTGATGTATTGTTTGCAAAATGTCTGGGTATTTATTTTTCTTGTATGTGAACATGTCCTTTGCCTTTATTCTTAGAAATTACAATAAAGATTATTTGGAAAAAAAAGTGTGGATCCCAATAAAGTCAAAGTCAAATTGGTGTGGCCTAACTACTATTTCCTCCCCCCCCCCAGGCGGACCATGTATATTTCCTTCCCATCACTCCTGAGTTTGTGACTGATGTCATCAAGAGAGAAAAGCCTGATGGGATACTGCTGTCCATGGGAGGGCAGACGGCACTCAACTGTGGTAAGTACTTTTTTTCTTTATCCAATTTTAACGTCATTTTTCCCGAAAATGGGGGTTAGACGTGCTTGCATCAAATGCAAATCTTTCTTTTTTTTTTTTAAGATTTTTACGGCTGGATGCCCTTCCTAACGCCAACCCAAACCCTAGTAGGGCCCTGTACTGGAAATTCATTTCAAGGCAATGGAACTTTGTGACATTAGTTTACAGTATGTTTAAGTTTTCAGTAACGGTTGAAACAATGGTAGTAGCACAATTGAATGCAGGAAATGTAATCCATGAAAAGTATGAACTTAAAAAACTACAAAAATGTCAAACTTGTAGCAATGCAGCACTTTGGACCTCATTTTGAGCCCAATAGCAAATGAAGTGTTGAAAGAAGCAAAAATTTGAAGGAAAAAATTACACTGATAACCACAGCTTATCACCTATATTAGTGACTTTTTCCCACTATAATGCATTCTTGTGTATTTCTTAACAAATTGCTGATCCTCATTCTTCAAATTGGCATTTGACCCCAGTGTTAACCTTCTACCTTTGACCTCCCTTGCAGGTGTTGAACTGTTCAAGCAGGGTATCCTACAGGAACACGGGGTCAAAGTTCTCGGCACGCCCATCGAGTCTGTCATGGCCACTGAGGATCGACAGATCTTCTCCGACAAACTCACAGAAATCAATGAGAAGATTGCGCCAAGTTTTGCGGTAGAGAGTGTAAGTTCACAGCAGGACTTTTTCCAGTTTATGATATATAGTATGTTAAAACTTAGCAGAATTACATGTATGCTGCTCATATCATAGAAATTTTGAACTATTCTAACCTTTTTCAAGTCATTGAATTCTTATGTACTATTTAAGAAAGACTAAAACTCAACGAAGCCATGAGATAAGTTTGGACAAAAAATGTTACCTGCATGGGTTCTCTATCATTTGAATGGCTCTTTTTACCCAGTAGAAAGAGTAGTGGAGCTGATATGTCCACATATTGTACAATGAATGCAGTGGAAAATGAAACACATTTTGTTAGCCAGTGTCCTCACTATGAGAACGAAAGAAACAGATTATTTCAGACAGTTACAACAATCTCTCCATCATTTCGTCATTTAGAAGATCACCAAAAGACTACATTTCTACTAAGATCACAAAACCCACTAATTATGCAGAATGTGGCACTATTCATTATCCACTGCCTTCAAAGAAGAAGTCGAACCCCTTAATAGCTAGAGTAGTAGTAGAAGTAGAGGTTTTTCCAGACAGATTGTTACCTGTCTCCTGTTTCTGTATACTTGACTGTACAAACAGTTAGCCTTCGGGCATGATTTTGCAAATAAACATCGTTTATATCGTTTACAGGTAAAAGAAGCCTTGGAAGCGGCTGCTGAGATAAAGTATCCCGTCATGGTGCGTGCAGCGTATGCCCTAGGAGGCCTGGGGTCCGGGCTAGCAGAAGACCGTCAGAAGCTGAAAGATATCGCCACAAAGGTAAGAGATCAAATGTGCTCGATGTTGCAACATTAACTCAGACAAGCTCAACAATGTCTTCTTACTAGGAAAATCAGACAAGACAACTAGCCATATATTATTACAGGAGCCAGGGCCTGAAAAATGTGGTTTTCTGGCACCCACTTTACAGAAAAGGTTTGTCTCTGTCTTTTGTTATCCCCATCTAGGCCTCTTTTAGATATTGGCTCCTGTACTATATGCAATGTAAGGCTCCAAATGTATAGAAATAGATAGAGGATCTGTCATTGATTCAAATTCAGGCTCTTGACATACGGGTAACACAAGCATCCAGGCACACCAACAAATTTTTGACACTGGTTGTGGGTAAGTGGGTGGTATGTGGAGGAATTCAGGAGGTGGCATCATACCCAATTAAATTACATTGTACAATACAATCCTCTTCACTGTTTCCAAAGTACTTCCCCGAGGTCACAAAACATAGCCATTCTTTATCAAAAGACTTCCCAGAAGCTTGGTTTGAAATGTCTCTGAGTTTAGATCCAACACAAAAAATCTCTGACCTAGAGCTTTCGACCAGTCACTCTGCTCTTCCTCAGTAGACTGACCCAGTGAGACTTGTCACGTGTCTTCTTTGAAGTGTGACGTCACTGGGTCAGTCTACTGAGGAAGACCAGAGTGACTGGTCGAAAGCTCTAGGTCAGAGATTTTTTGTGTCGGATCTAAATTTTTAACTCTAAGGCCACACCAATTCAATTTCTTGGTTAACGGATTCGCTGCTTCATTTTTCTCTGATTTGCAAATAAAAATAAAAATCCATAATCAACTGCAAAATGCTCATATTTTGCCCTGAACAGTTGAAAACAGTCCTTTTCATCCTAGTTGTTACAGTTACTAGTATTCCATCTTTCAATGCAATGGTATCATTAAAAGTTCAAAATTCATTGTTTAAATTTTGAACCAGCCTGGCTCCTATCGTACCATTTTGGACCATAATAGGATGCCTAGGCCTGTTTTTATTTTTTTTTTTCGCCCGCCCGCTCCATTATTTTTCTAGAAAAATCCATTAACCAAGAAATTAAATTGGTGTGGCCTAAACATGTAACTACCAACACAGATGAACTTTCATGATGTCTCTGAGTTGTTTTTTCTTTGTTCTAGGCTCTGGCCATGTCTAACCAGATCCTGATTGAGAAGTCCCTCCTGGGGTGGAAGGAGGTGGAGTATGAGGTTGTGAGAGACTCAGCTGACAACTGTGTCACCGTCTGTAACATGGAGAACTTCGACCCTCTGGGAGTCCACACTGGTGAGAGTACACACTTACACAACCAGTGGTCGAAATACTTTTTTTCAGTGCTCTGCAATATTGCAGAAGAGTCAAAATTTTGTTCTGCAATTTAGAAATACTTTATGCAAATACACAAGTCTCCATATTACAATCTTGCAGGTTTATAAGCATGAACTATTGATTGATATGCAAATTAGTGAAGACAAATTTTTGGAAGTCCAAAAGGAAACAAAAGATAAACAAGTCAAGACAAGGTTGATGTAAATTAGTGAAGAAGCTCCTGTGTTTCAGAACAGGAGCTTATTAGTGTTGTCTGTCCTTGGGGCCAAAAGCACCAAATCCCAAGTGCAAATTTTTCCTGCTGCAAAATTGCAGATTGTATAAATTTTTCTTCTGCAATCTTGAAAATCTATCTGCAGATTGCAGACTGCAGACAGGTATTTCGAACACTGACAACCCTGCAGGTCCACAGCAAACAGCTAGGGGGCCCAAATTTACACAACTAAACCCTTATCCTTGAGAAGAGTACACACTTATAATTACACGACCCTCCATGTAGAGTTTAATGTATTGTTTACACTACTGATTCTTAGGTCTAAAAAATTGATGTTTTTACCTACCGGGTATCTGTACAGGGTAAGAGTTACATGTACTAGTATCTCCTAGGATATAAAAGACAGCAACAAAGGAATACTAGTAGTGTATAATGATTTTCTGCTGATAATAGTATGTAGATAACAAATAAAATGTTTGGATTGCTTGGATATGGTGAAGAATTCTTTCTTTCTTTCCTTATTGGCAATGACAACAGATCAATACACAGGTTATCAAGGCAGTGGTGACTGGTATTAGATAACCCACAAATACAAACGTGGAGACAAACATCAATTAATTAATCCTGTAATTTGTTCCAGGTGACTCTATCGTGGTCGCCCCGAGTCAGACTCTGTCGAACTACGAGTACCACATGCTGCGAGAGACCGCCATCAAGGTGGTACGCCATCTTGGCATCGTGGGCGAGTGTAACATCCAGTACGCCCTGCACCCGCAGTCGCTGGAGTACTGCATCATCGAAGTGAACGCTCGCCTGTCCCGCAGCTCTGCGCTGGCATCCAAGGCTACAGGGTAAGGACACTGCAATACTGCTTCATTCTGCTAGGGGGTGTTTCTGTATGGCATTTAGTCACAGGCAAAGTCTGTCTGTTTTGCACAGTGTTCTAGCCAGCCTACAGTCTTTTTCCGTCTCCTCAATTCTGTTTGACATAACATCATGTTCATCTCTGGCATAACAGTTCTAGGGGGTCAAGAGATCCCTTTGGATCCCTTTGGAAAATTTTGAAGTTGGTGGTGTTTCTGTCTGGTGTTGAGGTAAAGGTTAAGGTTAAGTCACAGGTAAAGTCTGTCTTGCGACTCTACTGGTTTCCAAAGCTACAGGGTAAGGACACTGCAGTACTGTTTTATTCTGCTAGGTGGTGTTTCTGTATGGCTTTAAGTCACAGGTAAAGTCCATCTATCCTGCAGCTCTTGTGTTGCCTTCCAGGCAGGGCTACATGTATATGTACATTGTATGGATACCGTAGTACTGTTTCCTTCTGCTAGGGAGTGTTTCTGTCTGGTGTTAAGACCTTAAGGTAAAGGTAAGGGTAAAGGTAAAGTCACTGGTAAAATCTGTCTGTCCTGCAACTCTGCACTGATCTCCAAAGCTACAGCGTAAGGACACTGTAGTACTGTTCTCTTCTGCCAGATGGTGCTTCTGTATGGCTTTTAGTTCAAGCTAACCACCTGTTGGATTTGGCTTTGGCTGTGTAGGTACCCCCTGGCGTTCATCGCAGCCAAGTTAGCCGTGGGCAGGCAGCTGCCGGAGATCAAGAACGCCACGACACAGTCCACCACGGCGTGCTTCGAGCCCAGCCTGGATTACATCGTCACCAAGATCCCGCGCTGGGATCTGGACAGATTCCAGCTCACCTCCAAACAGATCGGCAGCTCCATGAAGAGTGTTGGAGAGGTGGGGTCAAGTACTGATTTACTGTAGTGTGATAGACAGATCCTAACTGTACTGATTTACTGTAGTTAGTGATGCATACCGGTTCACTGGACTTGGATCCGGACTTGTAAGAATGTTAAGGTTCAAATCCAAAAAAACCTAAGAGTCACGAACCGAGTCCGGACTTATTACCATAAAAGACCATTTCATATACCCTTTTTCTTTCCAAACCACCTAAAACCTTCCGTAGATTGTAAAATCTTTGCTGCAAAACGAAGAAAACATTGCCATCGGGCATCGTCAAGTACCGGCCTCCATGTTATGTGGCCAAAGTTTCACCCAGACAACATTGCAAGGTTGCCAACATGCAATTTTGTATATGCCATGGGTTTAGGTCCGGACTTACAAGTCCGGAACTGAACCTAAACCTCTGGACTTGAATCCGGACCTGAACCTAAAATTGGGTATAGGTATGCATCACTAACTGTAGTGTGATAGACATATCCTAACTGTCCATCACAATTCAGTTAGCAGTTTGTTTTGGATAATTGGTAACTGTCTAACAGTGTAACGCACCAGTTTTGTACAGTAGGTACAAGAGGTGTAAAATCCCAAGGGTACAACAGTGGGGTCTGCTAGGGATTCGAACCCATAACCTTTAGATCCTAGGTCAACAACATTAACCACTAGAAGACCACCTGTTATAAAAAGTAACAAGACTGTTGTATATGATCCAGGTGATGGCGATCGGCCGTACGTTTGAGGAGAGTTTACAGAAGGCCCTGCGGATGATCCACCCGTCGATCGAGGGGTTCGTTTCCCAGCTGCCCATGGGGAAGTCCTACCCACCGGATCACAACATGAAGGAGGACCTGCGTGTGCCCTCCAGCACACGGATACATTCCATTTGTAAGGTAAGGGATCAGAGTTATACATGTACATCACTAAGTGCTGCCTTGTTTGGGAGAATGTATCTTCTGCAGTTTTCCAGTGAACTTCTAGGTAGTGCACAACTGCCATTCTTCCCTCCAGCATACGGGTACATTCCATTTGTAAGGTACGGAATCATAGTTATACCTCCATGCTGCCTCTTTGGTAGGGAGAATGCACCTTGTGCAATACTCCTGTGAACTTCTAGGTGCTCAATTGCCATTTTTTGACACATACAATTATGTAGCACAGGAACAATACAAACCTTCTTTCAACAGTTATAAAGTTGCGGTGATCCTTCCCTTATTGCAGTCAACTTCACTTTTGATGCACTGGCTCGAGCTCTAAGTCTAATCATTTGATATCACAGTCAGTTCCTCAGAAAGGTTTATTGAGAGTGCAAATGTCTCTGTGTCAACAAAGATTTTATTAGAAACAATATTTTCTAGATTTGGTAATAGACAGACACAAAAATTTTAAAAAATATTGCTGTAATGTTGTCACTTAAGTTATGAGGAATGTAACCCATATCTATTTGTTTCAGAAGAAAGGTTTCAGACTCCTACATTGTCCTGTACATGTGTTAATTTCCCTGTCATGTCCCCTCCTGTTCAGGCCCTGTACGATGGTTACACTGTTGACCAGATCCATGACCTGACAGCCATCGATCGCTGGTTCCTCCACAAGTTGGACAGTATTGTCAACATAGATAGGAGCCTCAGGACCCTTAGCAGGTGAGTGGTGCTTCCCGATATACAGTAACTGTTATGGAACACTTTGTACTCTATTTCTTATATTTCATTCAAGTGGTGTTCTAGGCATCGTCCGTGTTTATATAATTTGACAGAATTTTGCATAATGTTTACCTTTGCACATGGTCTGCTCTGTTAATTCTTACTCAAACTCATTCATATATATGGTCAGACAGGAGTCTAAATCCCTCCTGCTATAAAATTACAACATGATATAACCCAGCACTAGTTACCATGGTGACAGGCAGTCTGGTTCAGGTCATTGACCTTTTTGGTTTGGAGAAGAAGAGGAAACGTAGCAAAAACAATATGTTTTCCTTAGGTAAACATAAATATCAAATGGTGTTTGATTCCTTTTCAGAGAAAGCGTACCGTCTGAGACCCTTGAGCTTGCTAAGAAGGCGGGTTTCTCTGACAAGCAGATCGGTAAGGCCCTGAACCTGACAGAGGCAGACAGTCGACAGCTGCGACTGGAGAGGAGCATCAAGCCATGGGTTAAACAGATTGACACCATGGCTGCCGAGTACCCGGCCAAGACCAACTACCTGTACTCTACATACAACGGCATGGTGAGTAGTGCTGTGTACCGGTTCGCTGGACTTCTTCCAGACTTTTAAAAAATGTTTAGGTTCAATAGATAACAAAATCTGTGCTGCAAAATGAAGAAAACATTGCCATAGGGCATCGTCAAGTGTCAGCCTCCATGTTATGTGGCCACAGTTATGCCCAGACAACATTTCAAGGTTGCCAACATGCAATTTTATATATGTCATGGGTTAAGGTCCAGACTTACGAGTCCAGAACTGAACCTAAACCTCTGGACCTGAACCTAAATGTGGGTTTAGGTACACAGCACTTAAATTGTGAGGCTTAGAGTTAGTCTCTCAAGACTTGAAATTCGTTTTTGGGAATAGGACACAGAAAACATTTTGGGAGCACTACATAAGACAGAGTAGAATGTAAGCAAAATGAACTGTATTGTCTTCATTCAGAACTTGAACTGTAATTCTGTTCCGCACTCTCGAATAATAAAAATAAAGATTTTATCATTTTTATTCAGACACAAATGCCAAGAATATGTTGTACTGTATCACTGTACAATACATGTATTACCTTTAAAACTACATTAGATTGCACATCTACATGTATGTGCACCCACAGTTTTTAAAGCCTTGCATCTGCTAGATGCTGATTTGCTTGAGTACAACATGTCTGCATTGATGTGAGGTATAACATGTGATTTCTTCCGCCTTACAGGAGCATGACCTGACATTTAATGACCATGGGACCATGGTGCTCGGCTGTGGACCTTACCATATAGGTGGGCACTATTCTTGTTGCTACTCAAACTTCTGGTGTGTACAGGACAAATAAAAAACACAATTTAGCATGTAAAATATCAATATCAGTACTAAGTATGATAGTTTCAAGTTTCAAGTTTTATTCATAAAATCAGCCTTGCAGCCAGTGCACAACCAAGCTGAATAACACTGATTTTTTTACAATTTTGTACATAGTAATTACAAATACAAATTAACATTACAATACATATATATAGTTAATTACAGACACATGAACAAACACATTACAAAGCCACACATGGGCACTGAAGTAAAGTCCAAAGAGTCTTGAAAGTCATTACTACAAAGACTCGTTGTACAGGCATATTGCCTTGTGTAAGAAAGAGTTTTTCAGTCTTCTCCCTGCTGCCTAACCCCATTAGCAATACAAATTTGGCAAACTTGCCAAAGTTCTACCCTCAGCAAGGAGAAGGTTAACTTTGATATTTGGAGAAGGTTAATTTTGATATATAGTGTTATGATGGGTTAAGTGTATGTGGCACCATGTGCTAACCCTACATGTGTCTCTTTTGAGTGTTTAGGTAGCAGTGTAGAGTTTGACTGGTGCGCTGTGTCAGCTATCAGGACCCTTCGTCAGCTTGGACACAAAACTGTACGTCAATGTTGCATTGTCCTTCTGTGTTTCACTTTTCAGAGATAGCTACCCACTGTTTTTGTCTTTCTTCGTTTGTCTTTTGGTCAGAGCCTCTGCACTGTTTTACCAGAAGGCCTAGGAAAAAAATGTTCTGTTTCTCGACCGACCCTAGACTTTTTCAGGGGTAGACCTCTGCAAGTGACATAATTTTTCGAGCAGATCAACCCTTTCTAGCTCCATGATTTGACACCTGAGTGATAAAATATTGTACAATGTGTCCTCATGCAGGTTTTTCCTTTTTTTTAACTGTGTAAGTTGGACCCCTATATACATGTATATATAGCTCTAATAATTGGGCTGTTCCATATGTTTGTGTGCCTAGGTCGTAGTGAACCACAACCCAGAGACTGTCAGCACAGACTTTGACGAGTGTGATCGCCTGTACTTCGAAGAACTTTCCTTGGAGAGAGTTCTGGATATCTATGAACAAGAGGTAAGCAACATGCACTATCCCTACATCTTCCCATAGACTTACCTCACCCATGTTCCCATATATACCTTTGTATAAGGCAGACCCAATTTTTCACATGATCTGTGCTGCTGTGAAGAGATTGGTTACATGATTATCACATGATCATCACATGATCTGTGCTGCTGTGAAGAGATTGTTCACATGATTGTCACATGATCATCACATGATCTGTGCTGCTGTGAAGAGATTGGTTCACATGATTGTCACATGATCATCACATGATCTGTGCTGCTGTGAAGAGATTGTTCACATGATTATCACATGATCATCACATGATCTGTGCTGCTGTGAAGAGATTGTTCACATGATTGTCACATGATCATCACATGATCTGTGCTGCTGTGAAGAGATTGTTCACATGATTGTCACATGATCATCACATGATCTGTGCTGCTGTGAAGAGATTGCTCACATGATTTTCACATGATCGTCGTGTGATATGTACAACTAAGATTGTATTGAACTGTGTGATGATGAAATACTAGTACGTTGATGAAGGTAATACGATACGCCAAAAAGCAGTTACTCAAGCAACTGGATATGATTTTGGAAACGGTCAGACGTTTCAGCTAGTATCCACTAGCTTTCGTCAGTGACTGGAGTTCCAAAATCATATCCTGTTGCTTGAGTAGTGCTTTTTGGCGACGATGAAATAGTCACTTCTTTATCTTTTATTTGTTTTTCTGAACAGAAGTGTCACGGGGCCATCATCTCTGTAGGAGGGCAGATCCCCAACAACCTGGCCATGCCCATGTACAAGAACAACGTCAACATCCTGGGCACGAATCCTGTCATGATCGACAACGCAGAGGACAGGTGGGTCACATGGCACTCACATGATCCCTGCTGCTGTGGAGGGACTGGTCACATGATTGTCACATGGTCATCACATGATCCCTGCTGCTGTGAAGATATTGGTCACATGATTGTCACATGGTCATCATGTGATCTGCACTAAGAAAAGATGATCAGATAGATGTGAAGAGTTAGGATTCTTGAAATGTTTAGTATATGTTGAAAACTTAAACATATACAGGGCTTGGGTTGCATGTAATGGTAGAGAGATCACAGCCAGAGATGAGAATTTTTTTCCACCCTCAGGTCAACCTACTCAGCCATCCTGGATGAGATTGGAATTGATCAGGCACCGTGGAGATCCTTGTCTTCCCTGGTCAGTAAAATATTTTCAGTACCTGTATCTGTATGTTTTTGTTTGTTTGTTTTTATTTGTTTACCCAGGGTGTACATATCGCCACTAAGGCGTTTTTCAATGTGCCCTGCAGGCATACATAAATAAAATATACAAGAAAACAACAGATATAACAAAATGATAAGTCAACTTATAAGTACAAATTAAAGTCAACTTAGTACAAATAAAAGTAAAAGTACTATATAATGCCGCAACTCAGTAAGGTGGTAATAAAACAAACTTGTCAAACCAAGAGCCACAACTCATAGTAATTAAGGCAATAGCCGGTATAGCCGGTACAACCGCCCTTTGGCATAACACACCAGCTTGTACAACAAGACTTTGTGATAAGTAACATTTGGATGCATGTATCTTGACTTTTTAAAGCATGTTTCACTCAAACAAGCCCATATTTGTATACTATTACAGTTTGATTTGGTCTTCTTCAGCACCATGGTCTTTCCTTTTCTGTTGTCTTTAGGACGAGGCTTTAGAGTTTGCTGCCAGTGTGGGGTATCCCTGCTTACTGCGCCCATCCTACGTCCTGAGGTAGGTCTTTAAACAAACCAGGGCTCGAACTTAACTTTTTTCCCTACTGTCCCAGAACTGTCCCAAAAATAAATTCCAACTGTCCCAAAGTGAGGATGGACTGTCCCAAACTGGTTTTCAGGAAGTATGTATTACAACAACAATAAAGCTGAGTCAGAGAACAGTATTGCTGTGTAAGCTAATTGTCAATTGAAATAAACACAAAATCAACTCAAATTGAAACTTGTCTTGGCTGGTTTATTGTGCCGACAAATGTAACAAAGACAAGCCAAAGTTCTTTTCAAACTTTCTTTCCATTTTCTTTCCTTCCACTTGTTATGTGTACGCTACAGTAAGTGGCCCCTGTAAAGTGTGCATACTGCATGCTGCACACTGCAGTACTATATTATACTGCATGTATTACAATTCACAAATATTTACATGTTTAAATGTTTTACATTTCAAGCCCCCCTCCCCCCTTCCGTCGGCGCATCCCTCTTTCGTACCGGCCGTACGATCTGGAGGCTGACACTCAGTTGTTGAAACCACGCCGTCAGACTGAGATGATCCTGAACGTCTTTGAGGATCGACAGCATTGACTGCATTCGACGCCGGGGCCGCCCGCGGCGAGGAGAAAAAAGAGGAAATTTTCCTCTGTGCCATGCCGGCCATGACTCTCAAATTTTCTGATTTCGGCTGTTTTCGGCATTACATTCGTCATTTCGCGGGAAACTAGGCGAAGTTTACCGAAAGACACCGTACATTCCCGAGCTTTGCCGGTTCACTATATTTGGCATTGTCAGCTGATCTCCCGAGCATCTCCGGAAATATCCGAACATTAAACAGTTACAGTTCGCCATATATGGCAGATGCCTTGATTGGATGGAAGCTGTGATTGGTTGAATGTTGTTTACATGGATAGAATGTCTGGGAACTGGCGTGGGAAAGTGGCGCCAAGGCGGCGGGCTGCAATAGACCAAAGGCGATGGGCGGGGCGACAAAATAGTGGCCACATGCGTACACGGGTGCCACACGCGCTGCTCAGCTGAGTGTATATCGAATTCGGCGGCTTTTGGTGAGGCCCAAAAATGGGTTGCGCGCCTGACAAACGTATGAACGGCTGACATTCTGATTGTGAATGTTCGTTATTTTTCCAGTGTCCCAAAAATGTCCCAAAGTGATTTTTCAGTTGTCCCGGCCGAAATTTTAGTGGCCAGGGGACATCGGGACATCGTTAAGTTCGAGCCCTGCAAACGTATTTAAAAAATGTAAAACTAGCTTGTAAGATTTGCTTTTGAAGAATTCCATAAATTGTAAACAACATGGAAAATGTTGACCTTGAATAAAAAGTTGCTGCAAAATTTGCCAAAGCTGTTATTTTCTTAACTTGTGTGTTTCTGAATTGTTTCAGTGGCTCTGCAATGAATGTTGCATACGGACCTGAGGAGCTGACCAAATTCCTGGAGGAGGCATCCAGAGTCTCAAATGTAGGAGAGAATTTTTTTACTGATATAGGATAACAATTATGCCAAATTACTGTATTTTATGGATTGTTTTATTTGGTTGGTTGAGTGGGGTAAAAGTTGCCACAATGCTGATACTGATGATAGAAACTGGCTAGAAATCTTGAATTTCTAGTGGTTTATTGTCTATACCCTCCCTGTATTTTCTACACCAACATAGCCATCATCATGTTGTACAGGACTTTTGTGTTGTTCTTGGCAGAATCTCTAATATATCCCTACATGGTGTTTCCATGTATACAGGAGCATCCAGTGGTGATTACTAAGTTCATCGAGGGCGCCCGAGAAATTGAGATGGACGCTGTAGCAAAGGACGGTGTGGTAAGGAACACCTTTGGTCAGAAACTCTTCCCTTGGGTTTTTTGTATCATGTGCTAGCGTAAGCAATAGCCTGGGTTATAACACCCCTGGCTAATCATTGGTTTACAGCAATGTTCTAGCTACATGCAGAAGTCTTGGTAGTGAAGAGAAGATGCCGGTGTACTCTTGTTTTGAATGACTGGATATTGCTGTCAGTCATCATGTGATGATTGTTTGCATGGACTTTGAGATTAGAGCTTGTACTGGTTCTGTAAGGAAAATTGATTAGGTATAGGTCCAAAAATCCTGAAGTACCGGTACTGTACCTAAATAATTTTGAGATACATCTATGTTGTGAAGTAGGAGAAGTTTGAACTCTAGTCCATTCCTTCAGCCTACCAACCTTTCTTGAGTCAACATACATACTGTACATGTACATGCAAAAATTAGACAGAGAAATGGCATACATGTTAAGTCACACGACACACATCAACACTGTCACTGACTTTAATAACAACAGGATTGGTCTATTAACTCAGTAACAGTTTTGTTAAACTGCAAAGAACAGTCAACTATTGAACCTAAAGCTGTTCCATAGGACTGGTATAATTACCATACTGGTTGAACATACACTGTAACTCTAACCGATGTGATGTTCACCCATACCAGGTTGTCGCCCACGCTGTGTCAGAGCACGTGGAGAATGCAGGTGTTCACTCAGGTGACGCCACACTAATCCTCCCCACTCAGACTATCAGTCAGGAGGCTCTCAACAAGGTACGACACACTTCTGGGAGTATTACGTTTTAGTAGCATGTGTAATACAGTGGTTAGCAACCCTGCTTCGTGGACCAAGAGGTTGGGAGTTCTACTCTCGGCTGTTGTTGCTCACATGATGTGCACGCTACTGTAGATGGTTGGGGTGCTTCAGACAGGACATAAAGCTGTGGTCTGCTGATTTTCCTTGTCAAAAAGAACTGCATTTGTAGGAGACTTTCCCTAGTACACATGCACAATGAACCATTTGAAGGTTAGCTTTTCAGTGAGCTAAACTGGTTTAAGGTCACTTCCACTTTTTAAAAACAATTTTAGATCAATTGATAGTGTTTGAAGTGACAATAGATATGAAAATGAATAAAAGAAGGACACGGATTTGCTTTCAATAACTGTTACAATGTCTTCATTTAGGTGCGAGAGGCGACTCGTCGGATTGCCAAGAAGTTCTGCATCTCTGGTCCCTTCAACACACAGTTCCTGGCCAAGGGTGATCATGTCATGGTATGGAGTAGAGGATAAGGTCGCAAAGACATGCTTTACAATGAACTGTCTGCTAAGACAGTGAAAAGAACACAGAACTTAGACATGATATTAGTAGGGAATCGAATAGTGTTTTTTCATGATTTTTCAGTACACTGGCTTTCATATCTAGTGCAAATATAGAGTGTCAAATTAATTTCAAGTCAATTGGAAATGGTAACCTTTGGTGTCACTTGGAAGCAAAGTCCAGTGTGAATTTTTAGGCATGAGTATTGTGTCCACCAACGCCTAATGTAATGTAATATGACACCAGTGAAAATGCTTCATTCCCCATCCCCCACTAATAATATACTCTCACTGTACTTTTAAATCCAACCCTCACATTCTTGTTACCATGACAACAGGTTATCGAGACCAACCTGCGAGCGTCGCGCTCCTTCCCGTTTGTGTCCAAGACGATCGGGACTGACCTGATCGACGTGGCCACCAGGGTGATGATTGACCACCCGCTGGACATCCCGTCTCTCCCCACCCTGGAGACACCACATATCCCACAGGGGTATGTCGGCATCAAGGTACGGTATGAAATAGTCGTTATCAGAACACAAAGGTCTACATAACACTCGTAGCATGTCGGTAAAAATGTACTGTGCCTGTGCAAAACCCGGATTTTTCACGATTTTTGTTGGATGTTTTGATCAACGTTGCATCAGAGAATTGCCTGTCGCAGAAGATATCTTTCCGACATAAACTCAAAGTTTTCGAAGTTGTGGGAAATAGTGACATGATTCCTCAACACTATGATTGTCATGAAGTCTTACAATTCGCGAAGATCTTGTCATTCAAGCCACCCTTATGTGGGATGCCCACATCAACGTGATGGTCAACAAAGGAAACCACAGACTGCATCTGTTGCAGGCATGTAACAGACAAGGCCTTGACATTACAGACTTGACACCAGTCTTCTGCGGCTTCATACGGCCAACACTACCGCAAGAGCACATTGCCCTACCTGGTACACCTACTCAAGAACAAGTGTCATAAATAACGTCATAAATAAGCAGTAAGACGAGCACACTGTTTGAAATGTTTAGTTTATGTATATTTTCTTAATTATTGTCTTTTAATTATAAATCGTAGTTCATTTCAGAGGGTGCCACTGTATGATACACATGTATGTAGTGACTGTGGTATTAAATGAGGGTGTAAATAAACCATTCGTTTGAATACATCCCACTGTTGCTGGAGAAAGTTAGCATTGGATTCAGAACACCCCTTATAACATTTCTACATACCATATATTTCCAAAAGGAGTCATGGTAGGAAGAAATAAACACATTTGTTAAAATAAAACAGTATGCACCCCCATAGCATCAGCATATGAAATTAGAAAGAAAAAAAACGCTGTGCAGCTGGATGTGAAGGTTGTCTAAAAAGAATTGAGCTTCGTTAAGACTTTTCAGTTTTGCTCAATACAGTAATCACAGGTAACAAAGAGAGTCATAAGGCCTTTCAGCACCCACGGAAATCTAATCTTAACGTTTTGTGGTAACCATGGAGGCATGTATCCCATGGAATGAATGAATGATCTCATCCTCGTGTCTTTCATGATACTGCCACATTCAGACGAGGGGTTGTAAATGTTACTGACTTCAGTCTAATATGGAGGTGGATTCAAACAATTTTTTCCTCAATGTGGGTAACATACAACAAGTCATATCTAGCACACCACTGTCGCGTGGTCTCCAAGCAGTATACCTTGTTATCAGTCTGGTCATCGCCGTAGGGTGCAACGTACTTCTCATCTTCCTGGTCTGGAAAACAGAGCTTCTGCAGAAGCCCCGTCACTATCTACGGTGTAACCTGGCACTAGAAGACATCATCTTCACAGGATGCATGATTCCGTCGACGATCTATTGGCTTTTCAGCGATGGCACCAGTTCCCCACAGATGATGTGTATCGCACAGTCGGTGATCCCAATGTCAACAGTGTCAATGTTTGGTACGTACCTCCTCATGGCAATAGAGCTGTACCACTTCATATGTCATCCGCTGCACTACGGTAGTAATGTCACCACAAAGCGAGTCTTCATCGGCATAGTTGCAGTCAGAGTCTTTGCCTTGTTCTTTGGGATCGGGCCTATAGTAATCAAACGATTACAGAACGTTGACGACAATCTGCTTTGTCAACCAGAGCCTTTTTACAGCACCAACCCGGACGCCATCTTGAGAAGCATTTGTGGAGTTTCCGTAGTGCTTGCCGTCTTGGCCATCCTCATAATCTACTACATTGTCTACAAGGAAGCCAGGAAACAGCAGGAGAGGGATGAGCAGCGTCACCTGTGGCTTTGCCAGATCAAAGCCTTCAGAAAACTGGCACCGCATATCGTTGTCTTAGCTGTATCTGTGGCATCCTACCTATTCCTGGTTGCCTCGGGTCGGGCTGTGCTCAATAGTGGAGAGAAGGTATCAACTTCGCAGCTCATAACTGCCATAGTGGCCAATCGGATCTTCCTGACGCTATCATCGATGGCAACCCCATCATCTACAGCTTCAGGCAGCCAGAGTTCCGACGAGCTCTGAAGGAGCTCTGCGGCTTGTCTAACAACGTGCCTTTGGTACTACCACCACCACCTGCACACCGACGACTGGACGTAGCCGTTATCAACTTTCCATGCAATCCGGTCCACCATGGTCAAGAGACATCAGACGAAGTGCTCACGGTTACAGCATCACCTTCTGAACAGGAAATCGGGCAGTACGGATATCAGGCACCAGCTTCCAGTCCAGACCTAACAGAGGCAGATAGGGAAGGACAGCAGACAGAGCGTGGAGATCAGACACCACCTCTCAGTCCAGACCTAACACAGGCAGAGGCACATGGCCAGAAGACAGAGGTACTCGACAAAGGAGTACCCCTTCCTGACCACTGTGAAGAAGAGAGTGTGAGCCGACCCAACCGACCGGCCGTACTAACCGTACAGGCGGAAGTACATCTCATCCCAACACCACCTCCTAAACACAGCGGTCTGCCAAAATCAGCCTCTCCTCGACAACACGGTCAGAAGACAACAGTGGAAACTTTTCCACCTGGACGAAAAAGCCAGAGAGACGAGAACGCTATCAATATCTGTGGTAAAAAGGAAGTGGTCACCACGAGAAAACGCATCCGAAAGTTGGCCTGGCATGAGAGCACAGTTTGAACTGTGTACAACTTTCAAGACCATGATCCAGAGAGTACGTACCTTGTAAGGACTCTTAACGTTGGACTAATGAAAAAAGGAATAGTAGTTACTAGAATCTTACCGGACTGAATGTCTTATTTTCAATCAGAATAGAAAGGATTTTGGAAAGTTATCGAACTCCAGTTATCACACTTTTTTTAAAAACCGAATTTAACGTCATTTTTCCCCAACCGGGGGTTAGATGTGCTTGCACCAAGTACGAGTCTTTTTTTTTTTAAGCAAGATTTGTACAGCTGGATGCTCTTCCTAACACCAACCCAAATGCTAGTAGGGCTCAGGATCCCTCTAACTGAGGGGGAAAATGCGTGTTAAGTGCCTTTCCCAAGGGCACAACATCTGGGTGCATGTGGGGACATGTCTGGGTCCAACCCTGGGGATTGAACCTGGGTCTCCTTGCTTGACAGTCGGATGCTCTATCCACTACACCACGCTTCTGGTCAACATAAAAGGAGCGTGAATAAATCAGTGATTACAGTGGTGATTTATCAACCTTGACTGACAGCTAACCTATGTTATGTGTGAGCCGAGCACATGGGTGGGATTCCTGAAGTAAGTATCTGTGGACACAAGAGGTGACCACTACAAATAGTTTCATAGTTTCAAGATCCATCAGTTTCACAACTATGTATTAGAAGCTATTATAGAATTTAGTTGCAACATACAGTTGTATTGCCATGGGATTTGGACCTGTTACTAGTTTCTGAGTTTTGTAATACACAATTTAATGTATAGGCACTGGTGTAGTTCCATAATGGGTCTTACAACAGATGTATGCAAAAAGATTATATGTTGTATTTGAAAGTTTGCAAGTCTGTTCTCCCATTGTGAGAGTGTGACATGTATGTCAACAAATTAATTGGCCACATTGTTCACAAACCACAACAAAGATATTACATTTCACATTTGGAGATGCCAGAAGTTACAACTTTGTAATGTAATTTTGTGTCAAGAAGTTCATGCTCAGACATTGTTCCTCCGACTTACAAAACACTTTGGTGGAAAGTACACATGTTGCAAAACAATATCTCTGGAATGCTTGAACAGGCACAGAAAGTTGATAACACTCCATGAAGCTTGTTTTTATTTTCATTAGTAGAATGTTGTTGTTATTGTCTGTACTGCAGGCACCAATGTGAAGTTGTTGTTTTTATCATCACCAGTAGAATGTTGTTGTTATTGTGTGTTCTGCAGGCACCAATGTTTTCCTGGCCGCGTCTGCGTGATGCGGACCCTGTCCTGCGGTGTGAGATGGCGTCGACCGGCGAGGTGGCGTGTTTCGGACCAAACGTGCACTCCGCCTTCCTCAAGGCTCTGCTCTCCACCGGCTTCAAGGTTCCCAAGAAAAGTGTTCTCATTGGCATCCAGGTACATGTGATATATCATATGCTATGTATATACATACATACATACATACATACATACATACATACATACATACATACATACCTACATACCTACATACCTACATACATACATACATACCTACATACATACATACATACATACATACATACATACATACATACATACATACATACATACATACATACATACCTACATACCTACATACATACATACATTCATACATACATACATACATACATACATACATACATACATACATACATACATACATACATACCTACATACCTACATACATTCATACATTCATACATACATACCAGAACCATTATATTGGAAAAAAAAAAAGGTACAGTCAATGTGATTTGGAAAAAAATGTTTGTTTTCCTCACAAGCAACATTCTCAGAGATATTCTTTACTGAAGTTTCCTAACTTTGTTTTTATGGGTTTGCTAACATGTGCTTTTTCCTGTACCTTTGCCAGCATTCCTTCCAGCCCAAGTTTCTGCCCACTGCATTCAAGCTGAAGAGTCTTGGTTACAAGGTAAACAGTTCTTACAACATACTGAACAACAGATGGACCAATGACAAGTTGATGAAGAAATTGTATCGGTCAAATAAAGTTATGCATATTGAATAAGTTTGTTCCAACCATGAATACTCAAATGAAACCATCTACATCTATAAGATTGTTCATTTAATTCCTGGTAAATTTTGATGTTATGCTCTGGGGATGTTTGTTCTGATTGAAACTGTTTCCTCCCCCCAGCTATATGCCACGGAGGCCACAGCTGCCTATCTGAATGCTCACAAGATGGACGCCTCGCCTGTAGCCTGGCCTATGCAGGAGGACACCAGCTCTGTACCATCTGCCACCAGGTCAGTTCACAAATTCTCTCATTTCATACATATGCACAGCATCTTTGTGTAGCCAAAATTGATCTTACAATGTTGACTTGATATATATCATAATAATGCTGTTATGTTACTGTTTGAGTTTCTTAAACAATTGTTTTTCCAAAATTCTACCAGGTCTAATAGGCTGCAAGTGATTCTATACCAAATAAACCATTCATCATTATCATCATAAATTCAGTAGCTAGCATTTCAGGTGCTCGTTTTTTTCATTGTCAGACAATTCTGGTAAGCACTTACTGAGTAAAGGATGAAAAATGTTGTCTACAATAGAAATGGCAGTAAGTAAGTACTAAAAGATTACATTTGTAGTAAAACGTTGAACTTTATTCCAACACACAATTTACACAATTCCCCTTCACTGTCGCCTTCATCAGGATAACTAATGACCAATTGTGTGTATTGTAAATTGTGTGTTGGAATAAGGTTCAACGTTTTACTATGATTACTACCAACACAGATGAACTTTCATGATAGTACATTAAATTTTGTAATTAGGTTCAAAATGTTCTTTCCTAGGCTGATCCAGGAACGTGAGATTGACCTGTGTATCAACCTGCCCAACAACAACACCAAGTACGTGAAGGATAACTACCTGATCCGCCGTGCTGCTGTGGACTCTGGAGTTCCCCTCATCACCAACTTTGAGGTCAGGACAGACAGATCTCCTACTTATTAATTACCTTGTCTTGTGTTAACAAAAGTTCTCTGTAAGTAGGAAAAAAATGTTGTGTTTCCTGTTTCCCGACCGACCCTAGGCTTTTTTTTTGTGGACCCCTTCAGGGGACAGAATTTTTTTAGCTTATCGACCTTTTCTAGCTTACGTACCTTGTCTTGTGTTAAGGTCACAGTAAGTAAATTTTGTGGATGACATCCTCCGCAGACTCCAAATCTAATGTGATAGGGCGAAAAAACAAGGCGGGCCAAAAAAGCAAGATTCCTACATTGTCAAATTTTGACGTTATAACCCTTGTTAAACAAGAAATGATGCCTATATTGTGCTAAGTTTACTGCCGACTATATCAACATCCATTTCTCACTGAAACAACTTGGCCTAACAAACACTTCAAGTTCTTTGTAAGGCCTAGACAAAAAATTGTGTTTCGTGTTTCCCGACAGACCCTAGAAAAACTTGCCAACCCTAGGCTTTGTTTAGCTGATCGACCTTTTCTAGCTCCATGATCTGACACCTGAGTTATAAAATGCTGTACAATTGGTTTTCTAACATTGCCACTGAAAATATAAGTCCTTATGCATGTTTTACTTAAACTGTATTGTATAAGTTCAATCACTAGAGATTGCCAAAGTCTAATAAAAAAAAAGATAATCTCTACCTACTGACCCTAATATTGTCAGGACTGAAACAGGAAACACAACATTTTTTTCCTAGGCCTAACTCTGACAAACTTTAACTCGGAAAAAAACAACAACTGGATTATTGATGGCCAAACAATAACCAAAATATTAGACATTAGACCTGTGTTTATGACTACCTTTTCACCAATGCAAAACAATTTGTTGTTGCCGTTGCTAGGTTACCAAGATGTTTGCGGAGGCTCTGGAGCAGATGTACGGAAAACTGGATGCGACCAGCCTGTTCCACTACCAGAAACACGCCAAGAAGATGGTGTAGAGCTAGATAATCTGCTGCAGTGTTCTCACCAGGCCTTTTTAGCATTGGGGCCCCCTATGTTATGATTTTGACCCCCTATGCTATAATTTTGACCTTTATGCTGTCTTTCAACCAGAATAGGGGTGTTTTGGGAGGGAGAACCTTCTTAAATCTTGCAAAAAAAATGAAAATATAACTTCAGAATGAAAACCTTAACTTCACAAAATCTGTTCCTCATTAAACAAGAAATAGTGTCTCAGGGGGTTATGAGAGATATTTTGGCTCATAGCGTGTTTTGCACCACGAAAGTGACCCTTATGCTATGAAAAAATCCTAGCTAGAACACTGTACTGCAACGTTATACCCTATACCTCATACTCCAAAATTTATGTAGAGATTATAATATCATTTCCTCAGCTTTTTTTTAGATGGATAGATTTATTTATCATCCAAACTTTGATAATTTCTGGGGTCTATGGGTGATTTAGGGGATATACATGTTTTCACTGTGAAAAAAAAATCTGAAAACTCCAAAATGCAAATGTTACAAAGATCTGCATTATATACATGATGTAGTCATACTGGAAAATCAATGTGACAAACATTAATTGAAAATGTGCAAATACTCAAAATGATTCCCTCTTCAAACTCTCAGCAAAATGCCTTTACTTATAAGCCTTTTAAAGTTTGAAAAATGTGAATTGAAAAAAGACCTGTCTTGATTAGATTTAAATATAACATGCTGGTAGGCCATGTTGGACTCTTCATAGCTTTAACAGTAACCCTAACCCTACAAGATCAGTGAAAAAGTTTAAAATCAGATTAGCATGGCTAATTATAAAGATCTCTTATCAAAGGACGAAGCCATATTGTTTCTGTGCTTGCATTCTCCTCTTTGCAAAATGTCCATGTTATTCCCCTCTGCAATTTAACAGAAATGCTCTTGAAAGACCCATAGAAAAAGCTTCATCAGATTTTATGTGAAACTTTTCCAAACACATATATTTTCTGCAGCATTGGAGTTAGGAAAAAATTGTACTTAACACCTTTGATTCAACCTCAAATGGACCAATATAAGCATAATATATCGTGTTTATGATACAAAAGGATGAAAGTTAGAATAGGACAAGACTGCAATATGCAGACATGACAGGTTTGAAAAATGAAGGAAGGAATGAAGAAGAAAAGACAACTGCATTTATCTGTCAGACACTGTTCTGTACAGTTTAAAATCTCTGATGAATAATTCCATGTATGTTGTGAACAGTACTCAACAGTTGTGGCATGCTGCTCCAGTTGTCAATGTCTGTAGTCTCAAACAAAGTTGCCGTACTTGTGAAACTATTTACACCAGAAGTGTCGTCATAAAGTGTCTTTAGGATAAGGCTCAACATTGTCGCACACAGTCAGATGTTAGAATTGATGTCTAGCACAAAGAAATATATAGAAATGGTGTAAGAACTTGTAGCTCAAGTAGGGAAAGACTCAAAGGTTATGTCTTCTGCATCAGGGTTAGTTGTGCTGTTTAATATATAGCGCAAGGAGATTTTGGTGATGACTTGCTGAAGTAACCAAAAGCCGAGGTGCCATAAATGCTGGGAAATCAAACATGGCTGTTGACTGCCTGTCGCAACTTGGTGCACTCATGGAGAGGTGCAGGGTCTGTGGAGAACATTAGCATAACCTCTGTAACAAAATTGCCACAGTCTGTGGAGTACAGCAGCATAGACCCTGTAAGTTCAATTCATAGCAGAGCAGGTTACTTTGTAGTCTCCACCAGACTCCTTTTGCAGGCTGAATAAATCGGCCTAAAAAGGGCATATAATTGTTACTGTCCAAGCAGAGGTTGAATGGGAAGATTGTGACCTTTTTCTATGCCCCGTTTTTTTCTGACAGCCGGCCCATCGGTGGCCAATTGGATACTGTCGGCCGGCTGGATACTGTCCGCGTGTTGGATACTGTCTTTTTTGGCCACCAAAAGATCTGCTTGGAGATTAATATGATTGGCCAGTTTCCCAGCCATTGAGTGTCCAATTGGCCTCCTTGGATACTTCACACCTAGTTAAAACCCATTTGTGGGCTTCAAAGAGGATAGCAACTTCTCACAGACTTTGTGCAATGGAATTCTCGATGGCCGGGAAACTCCTTTGACCAATTATATGCCCTTTTAGGCCGATTTATTCAGCCTGCAAAAGGAGTCTGGTGGAGACTAGTTACTTTGAAGGTCTAGAAAAGGAAATATGGTGGAAATGTAGCGATGACAACTCACCATGTGTGATCCAAGTTGAGGAGGTAGCCATAGAACAGAACAATACAAACATTGAACACAATATAGTTGCAATACAGGAATGGAGGATGCAAAATGAAGTAAAGGTCTTACAGGTTCTGAAACAATACAAACATTATATAGCTAAGGTAAAGGGATGTAGTTTTGTGACTGTGATTTGTAGTAAATATCTTCCTGTCTAGCCTTGTAATGTTACATGTATGCTGCACTTTTAGGTGTAGGTTGTTGGAAAATACTAGTAGTCACAGTGCAGTACATGTTGTACATTGTAGCTGCCAGAAGGCCTCGTTTGAATGCATATCTCAAACCCACCTGAAGTTTCTTGTCAGTCTTGAAGTCTTTAATGTTTGCCAAGGAGTGTTTGCAATTCTAGGTGTAGGTGTAATTCAAGGTATCATAGATAACTGTTTGATAATATATTTGTGCATGTTCATTCATAAAATGTATGCAATGTATTTTGTCTAATGTCATAATAGTCTAATGTGGCATAAAATTATGTACTTTGGTCTGCACTAACCTTATAACTATAATAAATAAGGGAATTTTCACTTATTTCATGGAGAGGTAGCTTGTTTTTAAAACTTCTCAAACTACATTTCAAGAAAATGTGCCCGCACAAGTATTTTTTGTACTGTTTCTTAGCCCAATTCTCTGAGGTTTATGTTATGTCAATGAAAAGGGACACTTTCTTCTATATGATCTAGTGGTGAACATTTGTTGTTTTGTTCCAAACCCTCCCAAGACATACAGTGATCAGTCCCTAATGTTATCTGAGATGTTACATTTTGGAATTAAAAATCATATCTGAAGTCAGTACTACAGACTCAATGCCATCATTGGGATGAGTAGTGTATCATAGGACAAACCGTTGGTATTCGTAGGACCCTACATGGCATGAGGGGGCCAGTACACATTGATATTGGTTCCACTGCTGGTAAGTAATGGCCTGTAAACAACAATGAAGCGCCAAAACAGGGTAGGAAGATTCCAGTCTGCTTTTTAAAAAAAATTGCTTGAATCAACAGGTGGTTGAATGAACCAATAACCCCCCTCTCGCATTGAGTGGTATGACCCAAAGTAGTTGGTGACGTCACCAGTCAAAACAGGTTGGACTCGCCAACTGTTCGAGCTTTTCTGTTATTACTTAAGATTACCACAAGTTTCGGTGACTGTGGGCTACATAAGTCCCTTTTAAGGACTCCAGTGCTTCCCAAGACTCATCTTTGTGGCATAATATTTTGATTTTTTGCTGAGAAACTCTAGCGACTGTTGTCGTTGCCATGGCAAACATGGCGGCGCCCGGGGACAGTGAAGACGACGTTCTGGACTTCAGGAAGCTGGAGCGGGAACTGGCGGCGGCCGTGGAGGCTGATCACAAGTACCAGCGGGAGAACGACGCCAAGTTCAGGGCCATCAAACAACAAGTTGGGTCCTACGATGAGTTCAGGTAATAATTTACATGTATTTCTGATTCAGCGGTGTGCTCCCCTCCCCATATCTTACCAAAACATTAAATAAATTTGTCGTAATTTTCTTACTACTTAGCCCCATTACAAGCAGATTTTGTCATAATTCTGGATTGCTGTGATTAATTTCAATCCCAGTCGATCATTCTATCTTCCCCTCCATACTTTTATTTATTTATACAAATATTATTTCCTTCCCAACTGCTAAAAGTCAGAAATAATACTCAAAGTCTATCCTGCTAAACATGGTCACTAGGTGCTGTGTCTCACTTGGTTCATGTTGTTTCACCAGGTTTTGCCCCATGGTGTTGTCTCTACCTTGTCTAATTTTCCCCCTAAGAGAGGCCCCCCATGCCCTTTTCCATGATAGAGGGTAATTGGCTGTTTCAATCCTCTATAGACCATAGATGGACCGACCTAATTCAACGTAGACCATAATTCGCCGTTTTGATCCCATGTAATGCTTTATTTGTAGCTACCCAGAATTCATCGTAAAATGTAATTGGGAGGCTTCTTGAATTCAGCATAATACGTAGCTGGCTCTCAAATTTTTAAGCGTAGAGTACAGTGTTGTTGGGACCCCCATGCAGACCCTCCCTAAGTACTCTCCAAGCAGAGGTTTGGGGTTATTTTTGGTGTGTTTTTAAGCTTTTTTTATAGGGGTTTCTTTTTTGCACTGGAATTTTCTTAACACAAAAATTCCAGTGCAAAAGAGAAACCCTGATAAAAAAAAGCCTAAAAACATACCAAAAATAACCCCAAACCCAAACCTCTGCTTGGAGAGTACTCCCTAAGCTGCCATATTGTACGACACACACTTTCCCCCCACAGGGACATAGTTATGGCTTCCCACCTGCGACCCTTGGAGAAGAAGGACAACCTACAGAACATGGACGTGAAGCAGCCGTGGAACGTCCACGCTACAACACAGGCAGACAGGGAGAACA